CTAGGAGGAACAATTCAAGAGGCCCGCAAGAAATATCCTCCACAGCTTCTGAGACGTTTGTAAGTAATTTGCACGAAACAAAAAATGATGGAGCACAGCACTTTTTTCCAGCGAAGTTATATTCAAAAATCGCGATTCGATGAAGCCTCTTCCCGTTCGTGACATCAAGGTGAGGCTTATTAAGATAAGTTTCTTGCACAACAATATCATTAGTTACTAATTCTGTTTTGACGCAAAAGTTTTTGATTGATGGTACACTTTTGCCTAAGTTCCGTTAGGGAAAAGCAGATTTACAGCATTTGTCTATTGAAAATTACCCATTCTAAAATAAAAGACGTACAACAAGATGTCAACTATATATTAACCGAACCATGGAATTAGTTCGTGAAATCGTACATCTCTCTTTTCCAGGCCAACTGTGTTGGTAAGCTCGTTACTGTCACTGGTATAGTAATTCGAGCCACAGAAATCAAACCCATCGTGGAGGTTATGACCTATGCTTGCGATACTTGTGGAGCTGAAGTCTACCAACCGGTAAGTTCAAACAATGTTCTAGAATGCATCCGGGATTTCTGATTTTCTGTTCAAAGCGCTGATTTTAGGTGAATGGCCCATCATTTATGCCAGCCGTGAACTGCCCAAGCAAAGACTGTGTGGAGTCGAAAGCAAATGGTCGCTTGCATATGCAAGTACGAGGTTCGAAATTCGGCAAATTCCAGGAGATCAGAATCCAAGAGACCGTAAGCGACTCAAATTCGTCCAAAATAATATGCCCCATATGAAATGAATTCCAGAGTGATCAAGTTCCTGTGGGTTCAATTCCACGCACACTCACGGTCAACATCTACGGTGAATCTACTCGCCAATGTGGTCCGGGAGATCACGTCCGTATTTCTGGTGTTCTGATTCCTCTGATGAAAACAGGATTCCGTCAAGGCGGAGGCGGTCTTGTTGCAGAACCATACTTGGAGGCTCACGTAAGCTACTTGTTTACTTATTCACTTGATTACTTTTCCTCAAATCATGCTTCAGTACGTTGAAAACATTCGAAATAGTATCGAAGATAGAGAAACTGGAGAAGACGAATTAACTGAGGAGGAAGTGGAGCTGCTCTCTCAGGATAATCTTTACGATATGCTTGCCTACTCCATCGCTCCAGAGATTTATGGCATGACGGATGTGAAGAAGAGTTTGTTATTAGCTCTTGTTGGAGGAGTTGACAAAAATGCTTCTGGGATGAAGATTAGAGGTCAGTCGGCTTAAATTTTTCGAAAAGACTCCTCCAATTTGTGATTTGTTTAGGATGCATCAATGTGCTGCTGATGGGAGATCCAGGAGTAGCCAAGTCCCAGCTGCTATCGTATGTAAGTCGCCTCGCTCCTCGATCCCAGTACACCACTGGACGTGGATCTTCTGGTTTGTTTCCAACGTTAAGGCTTTACAAACGATTTTCTTCCTTGTTTATGTAACCCTCTTTAGGCGTGGGTTTGACTGCTGCTGTTGTCAAGGATCCTCACACGGGTGAGATGACACTCGAAGGTGGAGCTTTGGTAAGTTCGCTGAGCTTATAGAGGATATGCTCGTGAAAGTACGGAATTTCAGGTCCTCGCTGATCGAGGGCTCTGCTGCATCGATGAGTTTGACAAAATGATGGAAAGCGATAGAACATCGATCCATGAGGTTGGTCGGAATCCACCGCTTTCAAAACTTTGCGTTTTGTCATTCGAACATCAAAGTAGCTAATGCATTTGAATTCATATGATTTTTTTATCTTCAGGTTATGGAGCAGCAAACCATCTCCATTGCAAAGGCGGGTATCATGACTACGCTGAATGCGCGAGTAGCTATCGTGGCCGCTGCTAATCCTGCTTTTGGAAGGTTTGTTTCCAAATACGGATGTTTGGCTCAAATAGTACGAGAATTCTACTTCCAGATACAACCCCAAGAGATCCATTGAGCAGAACATCGACCTTCCTGCAGCCCTTCTTTCAAGGTGAGGAGAATTTCACCCCAAGCATTCCTTTCACAATCTTCATATCCATATTAAATTCATCTTCAGATTCGACATCCTTTGGCTCATCCAAGATAAACCAGACAGAGATGCTGACAAGCGCCTCGCTGCTCACATAACCTATGTACATATGAACTCTAAACAACCCGAGATAGAAGGAATCAAGCCGATTGACATGAAACTAATCAGGTTTGTTGGTTCAGGTAAATGGATATGCGCTATGCAATCACTCCTTTCAGACGCCTTATCGAAGTCGCACAACGAAAACAACCAGTGGTAGGAGATGCTCTACGAGAACGGTAAACTCACTTTCTGTTCTCTTAGGAAGCATGAAGATCTAAAAGCTAAACTTTCAGACTTGTTGAAATGTATGTGGATATGCGCCGTGCAGCTCGAGAGAGCGACGATTCGACTTTCACATCACCTCGCCTTCTGCTCTCAGTAATCAGGTAGCTCTTTCCCAGTACCTAGACTCTCTTCGCATTTTTTCATTCTTCCCAACGATCCTTGCTTCAGAATGTCTACTGCCTTGGCTCGTTTACGTCTTTCCAATGTTGTTTTGCCTGGAGACATTGAAGAAGCTATCCGCCTGATGCAAGCAAGCAAAGATTCGCTTCGTCCTGGAGTAATGGAACAAGAAATGTACGAGTCAATTTTTCAATTCACTTTCCACCTCTTATGCTACTATTTTAGTCGCCAATCACCAGTTGATCGTGCATTTGCGGTTCTTCGAGATCTCAACTCAGCAAGTGGCGATTCTGTGATTCCGCTACAAGCGGCTATCGAAGCGTAAGATTTATTAACTCACTGGTTGCTGAAAAAATTGTTTCTTTTACAGGTGCGCTCGCAAAGGAATCAGCGAAGAAGCACTTCGAGATGCTGTTTCAGTTCATCAATCAAATGGTGTGATTATGGTCGACGCGCAGCAGAGAATACGCTTTGTTATGAACTGATAGTTCCTCCTTTATTTTGTCACTTTCTTACTCGTAAATTCCGTTGATGTATGATCTCGCATTTATTATACCCATTAAATCTGGAGTTTTTGCTAAGTTCACTAGCACTCATAATATACCGATGTGCCTACTCACTGTAAATTGAGAACATCTCTGCCGCACGTGAATACAAGAAATAAATTTGTGAATGTGTAGTGCGTAGTAATATTTGCATAGTGGCTATAAAGACCAAAATACAAGTTTTGTTTGAGAACGACTGAAATCTATTGATTGCTTGACGTGTCAAGTACACACAAAAGGGCAACTATCCCAAGATCATTAGATAGGTACATTTGAGATGAGCTGTGAAGTGAGAAGGAAGTTTATAGTTGGTTTCCCAAAACATATACCAGAAAGCGGTTACTTCACCCATCATGAAACGAGAAAAACCATAGGTAAGAATGTAGATGAGATGCATTTAGTGTATCGGAAGGACCTTTTTGTGAAAGTGTGAAACCGACGATGTAAGCGCTATGATACATACCCACGAGATGATTAGGATTATATGTGCTAGGAAATATTTTGCTAATTTGGAAATAATAGCCAAAGAAGCTCCCATATCGTTTTGTTTGCATATAAGATCTAACTGCTTCTTTCTCTCCAATACCCCATTAAACCACGAAATCTCACCTGCTCCAGGCAAATACTTGAGTATGCCTTTTAATGCAATCTTTTCTGAAGTACATAACCACGGATCCATTTTGAAGAGTGCATTCCAAAAGTACAACCAGTCTAATCTAAAATGATTGATTAGCTCTCAAATGATGTATACGAAGTTCACCGTACCTTGATCTGTGATTCATTATCATAACA